TGCTGCAGGGACCGGCGTAGAGCGAAGCTGGAGTCACCCTAGCGCCGGGCGGGGGTCGGCAGTGTCGCTGCCACATCAAGCCGAGCCGGACCACCGCCTCCCTGCCCGCTTCTGGTGCGCACTGGTGCCCGTCGCACCTGGCTGCCCAGAGATTTGGTGTCCCCTCCTCTGGGTCGGCGGGAATGCCGGAGGCCGGGCGGTGGTGCTAGCTGGGGGAAACGGGGAGCTGTCGCCCGCCCCCGCCCAGCCTCACGTTTCGGAGCTCAGGCGTTCGGGGTTTGGAAATAAGGGATTCAGTGGCCCCGGTTTGTGTGCACCTCACGGGAGGGGGAGCAGTGGCAGCGGGGAAAGGGTTTGCTCTTGTGAGGTTCCTAACGGTGCCCTTTCCAGGACTCAGGCCTTGGTTACCCCGCGTGGCCCTCTAGCTTCCGCCCACTCTCCCTTCCCCTGGCCGCCTTTTAGTTCCATCACCGAGGCTTTCCCAGAACCGCAGCAGAAGGCCTCTGAGGATATGAATGGCAAGGATATTTCAGGGAATAAACTGGTTTTGGCCACTGATTAGGTCCTTGAGTGGGGTAAATGCCCGCGGACCCCCTCCGAAGGAGCTCGTGGGGAAGGTGTAGAGGTCACTAACCTTACGGGAACTGGCGTTTATGTACGCACCCGAAAGCAGAGCCTTATTCCTAACCTGGTGCAACGAGCTGGCAAAGGAGATTTAGGAATGTTGGCAAGCAGACTCTGGCCAAAGGTTTTGGAGGAAGGACTAGGGGCGGGACAGGAGAAAGGGAGCCCCAGACTCGCGGGCCTTGGCTGGGACTCGGCGCTAGGGAGTCCTGGCTGGGCGGGGTGACGCGTACCCCCAGGGGTGCAGGCGGCCCTTCGCGCACAGAGGTGCACCCGCCTCTCTCTCTCTCTCTCTCTCTCTCTCTCTCTCTCTCTCTCCTTCCCTTCTTCCCCCAGGGTCAAGCTTTCCTTACCCCCTAGGCCTGCCTGCTAGCCACCTCCTCCGGTTCTCCACCGGGTTCCTCCTTCTCAGCCCCCAGACCCTGGATGGCAGCACGAGGCTGGGAGTCCAATGCCTGGGCGGAGCTGAGCGAAGGGGCCTTGTGCAGACCCGCCCCCGGCCCCAGAGGGCGGGCGGAAGGTGAGGAGGGGGCACCAGCCGCGCCCAGCGCAGTCCCCCGGGGAGGAAGTGCTGCAGAGGGAACCCTGGTGCCTATCCTTAAACCTCTATAGCGGGGCGCAGCCCCACCAGCACCAGTCCTCAGCTGTGCCAGGCGAGTGGCACAAGCATATTTGAGGTGCCTCCTATCTACTCAGCCCAAGGCTCAGAGGCAGAGGCACCAATCAAAAACTGGTAGATTGATAGAATTGAGGAACCAGGCGGGTGCAGCGGCCACGGCGATCTGGAGTCACAGATACCCGCCTTCTTCGGAGTGGTATCTCGGTGGCCAGCTTGTTCCAGGAGCCGGTTTGGTGCCTCGGCGGGGTGAGCAAGGGGACACAAGCCAAAGACTTGAGCTGTGTTGTGTTAGAAAACTACCGCAACCAAAGGACTTGTATGCATGCATTTTAGCATAACCAATGGACACAGACACTGGGGCGGTGGGGGCTTGCCTAGGGTGGTAATGGCTGCCGTGGGGGGGGGGTGTCAATCCAGGGGGAAAAAGGATACATATGTAAAACTTTAGACAATAAAAAAAAGAAAGAAAAAGAAAACTACCGCTAATCTTTCTTCCCCTTTTCCTGCTGAGTGTGCATTTCCCAGACTGGACCCAATCGGTTAACAAATAAAGCCAACAGGTCCTGCATTCAAACAGGGCCTGTCCCCACTCCGAAACCTCGATCCTCAGGCTCCCTCCCACCTGCCTCTTGAAGGGCGCCTCCAGCGGGTCCGTGAGCAGAAAATGTCTGTCTTCTTTCTTGCACACCAGCTGAACACTTTTACCAGGCTTTCTCCAAACAATAAAACATGCACTATGTTCTCCGGGGGAAATATTATATTTAAGTTCTGCCTCAGATTTTTCTGGTCTTGGCTAATCTGAGGCGTTTCTAGAATCCTTAGTTTCCACACAGCACTGGGTAATGGAGCCCTACCGCACTGATAGTTAATTGCCAGCTAGTGGGTAGGTAGAGAGCAAATTGTCCTTGCTAACAACCTCTTTACTCTGCTGTTGGACTACAATAACTGCTAAAAGGCCAGTGTTGTATTTCTGCAATTCTTCAGCAAGGGAGACAGACCAAACTTTATAGGAGAATAGGTGATAGAGGAAAATTTTGTCAGTGTTCATGGGTTGATTTTATTTTGGTCTCATGAATACATAATCCTTCCTGACATCACAAATTCCCAGACTAGATAGGACCCAGTTCCAGTAAAGGGAAGATTCATGGATCATACACCCAGGAGGACAGGCAGGGGCTCCAGGGGCCCCAGGCAGGGCTGCTGCAGTAATAAGGCACTGGGCCAGAAACTGGCCTTTCCTTAAGAATAGACTGGCGGAATAGCTCAGTTGGTTAGATCATCATCCCCATAGGCCAAGGTTGTGGGGATCACAAGGTTGGGGGTTCCATCTGGTCAGAGCACATACAAGAATCAACCAATGAATGCATAAATGAAACAACAAATCCATGTTTCCCTCTCCCTTCCTCTCTCTCTCTAAAAAAAAAATCAGTAATAATAATAATCTATCCTATCTAATAAAAGAGAAACATGGTAATTAGCCATACCTCCGCTACCCTTCCCATTGGCTAATCAGGGCAATATGCAAATTAACTGCCAGCCAAGATGGCGGCCGGCA